AATGTCCCAATTTGTTTTACAGTTTTTTATACTCCACTCTTTGGCTGCTCTAACGCCTGATAACTTCTATGGTAAAGACCAGATAGGTGTGATTCCTTTATCCTGCAAGGGTGACAAAAACTTTCTCATTTTTAAAGTGAGTGACATTATCCATTCCTATTTCCTCAGTTTTTAGGAAAAATACTTATATGTTCCGCCATTTTAGCAGACACTGTGTTCCAGTTGCTCTGGTCAGAGGATAGACATGTTTATGACTCCCTCCATTTATCAAAGGTCACAAGGAAATACTTATTCCCACTGGGAGTGCGGGTCAGAAAAGGACCTGCTTATGTCAGCACTAAAAATGGTTAGTGGTCCTTCCTCTATTATTTTAAGATGCTCAGGATGAACTTTCTTAAACCCATCCACCTCTACACATTGAAGACATGTTGACCATGTGTGTTGTAGGTGCAATCGCAGTTTTGGTAAGAGGATTTTATTGTGGAGACAATATTTTCTCATCTGAAATAGGCCCACATGGCCTAAACTGCTGTGTAATTCACGCACAACCTAAGGAGCTTCTTCAGGTGGTACGTGAATGCTTCCACCCTTTTTCCATATTCTAGGGAATATGGCAGTCCGGTGGTTAACTCGTCCCGTGCTTTAAGCAAGGTAAAACTTCTCTATTACCCTGACAGTTAAATTATATCTTATCTATATGGCTACGGACATGATTCCATTCTACATGCCTGCCTTTAACTCTGCAATAAGACCCTCAATAGATGGGCATGTGTCAGCGTTTCACCTTTCACATTTTTGAACTGCCTTTGTTCCCAATTATTAAGCTCTTCTTTACCCGCTTTTTAATAATAATCACTATCAGTAATAATACGGATGTGTGCTATTTTTCCTTTTTTAGCAAAAGGAAGTCCCTCAACAAATGGCCTTTTCCTCAGCAGGCTGTACCTGGTATTGCACCCTTTTGCTTGCAAAGTACTTCACCTGAATTAGTTTTCTTTATAAAGGCCCAAGTGGCTGCTTGGTCACCTTTTCGCAAACTCCCCTCTGTAAACAGTGTTATCTGTGGAGTAGCGGTTTTCTGTAAGGGTTTCAATGTTTCCCTTTTTGGCTTACTTCCTGTGGTCCTCTGCACCCCACATCTGGATCAGACATTATCATCTTCCATTTTCTTCATCTACTCATCATTGTTTTTGCTCCCTAAACAGTTTGTTTAGTAGCTTCAGATATTGAAAAATAAAGAGTGTATATGCACATTTTGGTACCTTGAGACATTTCCCTCAGGGCTGGATACATTTTTAATGCAAGTGCAAGATGCTTCTCTTCAGGTGATAATTTTTCCTCTGTTCCTGATCAAGTCATGGACATGAATAACACAGATGTTCTATCACCCTGGTTCCTTATCTCCACATTGTTAGTTTCTGAGAATGGGTCTCAACATACTATTTTGGTTTATGATATTTGATATTATTGTTCTGGTGTTAAGATAATTTTTTGAATCTCCCTCTTTTCTTAACAACTGGAGCTATGTCTATTTTAGATCCGACTTGGTTAAGAGTTGATTTATTCATTGGTGAGAGGAACACTATTTCCCTTGTGCTGGGGTGGGGGTGGGTAGCCTGGTAGAGTTCCTTAAAATCTCCAGATCTTCCTCTGTGCTGAGGCCATAAAACTTTTAATGGTCTTTCGTGGTCTGCTCAAATTTTCTTCCCCTCCAGAGGTCACGCCTGTCTTTGACCCTGTGTGCTGCGTGTTTTCTGCAGCACCTCGGGAGCAGAGAAAAGAGGAAACCTTTTTTCCAAAAGTGCATTCTCCTTCATGAGAAAAATAGCACCACATTTAACTCTCCCTGACTTGTCTTTAAAGCGTTCTTTAAGGCTTGAATTGAGTTTTCCGTTGTGTAACGGAAAATCCCATTCCCAAACAGGGGTCAAAAGTAAATACTTTAGTTGATTTTGGTAAAGTATTTGAGCTTTAGCTTCGCAAAAACGTTCTCATATTAGTTTTGAAGATATTTTTGGGGCTTGATTATCTGCTGATAGTTCCCACATAGGTTTTTTCTTAAAAGTACATTCAAAACAACCGGTATTTGTGGGTCATCTGATCACCACATTGCCTTCTGACAGTTTAATAGTCCTTATCATATTATCACACTGTTATTGCATGCTAGGACCTATTCTCTTTGCCAGAGCTACTGCTATTTATCCTGCATGTTTTAGCTTCCTATTAGCAGGGTTTATTAACATGGTTTGTTGATCCAGTTTAAGATTTTCAATATTTGACATTATTATTTTCCAACATTCCTTTTTCCTGAATATCATGTCTAACAATGTGGGTTTTTTTCTCTTTCTAGGAGTAGTAGATGGGATACTCCTAAATGGCATTTTTTGAGCTTTTATCCCTGTATGGTGGAGATAGGGTCTCAAACATTATACCACCTGCTTGTTGCTCTCTGTCAAACGGTAGTCTGACAGGAAACTTATTTTGGTCGCGGTACGCCCGTGGGTCTGGGCTAAGCTGACCAGGGCGGGCAGAAGCTCCGGATTTTGCTTCTGTGTATCCCCCCTGTGTGGTTGGCTCCGAGTCATTAAAAACTGCGTTCTAACCTCGTCCGCCATTTATTTTTGTTTGTTTGTTTTAAAAAACAACACAAAAATGTATTAAAGGGTTCAAGTTCACTCTTTTATACACATGCAAGTTCCTAGGCTTTACTCTCGACGGGTGTACAGTCCGACTATACCGTCACTTGGTTCTAAGTTCTCTTTCTGGATTCAGTTAGTACATGCGGGTACCTCAGCTAAGAGTTGTATTTACCGAGCTTCGAATTTTTTAAACAGCATAGGTACCTTTAGACCTATGTTTATCTTTATTAAATCTCCCATTAACTCTTCCCCACGTTATGTTTTAACGCAAAAGTTCAAACCGCAGCTCTTGGTCAAGTCCTACCTATAAGTTTCAAAGTAATTGGACAAGTACTGAGCAGTACTCCTACGGCTGACTTCACTTTAGCCACCTAAACCTGTGTTAAAGGGACCACAGGCTTCTCAATTTGACTAGGGGAAAATGAACCTTCTTTAGCTTCTTTAATCAGACAGCTATATCCGATATAATATAACCCTCAGTCCGGTGCAATAGTATTAACTTAAATTACTACACTTTCAGGTTTAATTATATATATTCTAGGATTTGGGGTAGGTATTTTAACAAGACTTTCAGCCTGTATTTCGCTGATTTGTATTCCTCGACTTTTTTCACTAGGTCGTTTTGGTTCTTGTATTTTGACTCTGTAAAAATATTACTTTTCACAGAGCCCCACGTTGGGCGCCATGTTTAGAGTATGAGAGGTCCTGATAATTTATTCCGGTAAATTATTCTGACCTCCTAATTGACCTTTCCGAAGATTATTGAGTCTATGTAAGTTTGCTGCGTGGCTCAGATCCACCAACGTCAGCAAGATCTCACCTCTTCCTAACCCCCCCGAAGAACCAGGTTCAATTAACTGCCGTTTCAATTCAGACAACTCTCTTTTAATTTGTTTAAGCGATCCCAAAGGATTTTGATATCAGTAAATGGAGTGTGCTCCTACCTAAGTGTGTGTGGCAGGGTGCAATCTTACCTTTGACGCAGGAGAGGAGAGCACAGGTGTCTTTTAAAGGATCCCAATCCAACAGGTGGGATTCAGTTTATTTGAAGAAAAATAGGTCCAAACTAATACAGGGTTTTTACCTTCTCTCTCACAACATTATAATCATCCTAACAAAAACCCGTGCTGTGATCATGTTCAAATGAAACTTTAATTCACAGTCTTACATTTATTACCAAAATGTTTTAATTTCAACTGCCCATTTCAGTTGTGACATTTTAAAATTCTCCCGATAGAATTTAGAGGTATTTCCTCGTAAAAAGACCGGTGACAATAAAAAGCGCATTCAACTTTTCATTCACCCATTTATTCACATCAGTTTCATACACTTTTTCCGACACAGACGGCGGATTTAACACTCAAAAACCCATTCCTGTCCGCAAAATTCGGGGGGACCAGATTTTTTCCCCACAGGTCGCGGTATTTATAAAGGTTCATACACTTTTTCCGACACAGACGGCGGATTAACACTCAAAAACCCATTCCTGTCCGCAAAATTCGGGGGACCAGATTTTTCCCCACAGGTCGCGGTATTTATAAAGGTTCACACACTTTCTCTCATCAAATCATTCCACTCAGCCAACAACCAATAAATTCGAGAGATATTTACCCCGTCTAGAAAGACCTTACCGAGAGCTATTAACCCAGCTCTGAAGCACACAGCCTACCCGGAGAGAGTCTACCAGGGGTCACCCCCCCTCTCTCGCGCTCTCTCAAAAAACCAGTCTCTTTATGCTAAAAAAACTGGATCCTAAACCCAAAAAAACAAAACTCCTCCTCTCATGTTAGGGTGAAAAGGACATGAACTCTCTTTGGCCTCTTAATGTTTCTCCCCTTAGTGTGAAGCCCCTCCCTGTGGACTGCTGCCAGAGGAGAGGAAGAAAACTCAACCTAAACAACCCACTTTGTTTTGTTTATACTGTAACTATAGAAAACCTAAAATATGAAGCATTTTCATTGTGGGTTATACAAGAATATAATTGATTATATTTGATTATAACTAACTTTCGTTTTTAAGTATTAAACATACTATGAAAACTCACAACACCCTCTTTTCAAAACGCAAAGTTCTCAAATAGCAACAGAAAAAATTGTAAGCATAGATTCATATTCAAAAACCGTCAAGAAGCATTATCCTTATGGGTTTATACAAGAATATGATTGATCATGTATGATTTATAATTAACTTTCGTTTTTTAAGTATTCACTTCATACCATGATCTCAATTAACTTTCGTTTTAAGTATTCACTTCATATGAAGATCTCAACAGTAGGCTAAGGTTAAAAAAAAGTGTGACGAGTAAAAGCCAGGTAGTAAAAGCCAGGTACTGTTATAAAACTGTTGAATCTTTTTTTGCAGGGAAATGACCAAGGCCCTAAATCCCAAGTACACGCCTCCCTCCAGAGATAGCTTGAGCAACGAATTGATTCCTGCCTGGTATAAGGTGGAAAAATCAAACGTTGTATTTGAGCTAAGTGGTGTTGGCAAAGTTGCCATAACCAGCGACGGCTGGACAAGCATTTCTCAAGACCATTACCTTACAGTGACAGCTCACTACATCATTGAGGGAAAGATGAGACAAAAAGTGCTCAGAACAAAAGCCATCTACACAGCCCAAACAGGACAAGTGGTGGCTGAAGAAATTGGAGAAATTCTGCAAGAATTTGGCATTATGAATAAAATAGCGGCTGTCACTGTTGATAATGCAGCGAACATGGATGTGGCCATTAAAAGGCTAAATTTCATAAAGCTAGGCTGTTTTGCACACACACTTAATCTTGGGGCACAAACTGTCTATTCTCTGGCATCGGTGACAAAATGGACAGCAAAGATCAGGGGTGTTGTCGTCTGGATGAAGCGTTCATCCATGGGAAAGACTGTGCTCCGGGAAAAGCAACAACTCCTAAGTAAGCAACCCTCAGATTACTTCATTTGACCATACTATAAGCTCATTAGTGCATTATGTACATTTTGAAGGTCTTAATTTGTTAACACAATGCAAGAAACATATAGATCTTATAAAAACGGAATCTTCTTATATAGATGATCATGAAGATAACGTTATTGTTTGTCACAGAGCAAACACAAACAATGCATATTTAAAATGCATTTATACACATACACGTAGAATAGACATAAAACTGTTCAAAAAGTAATCACATTTCTCAATCAGATTTTCTTGTTTGGGTTATAGATCTGCCAAAACACTCTCTAATTCTTGATGTGAGAACTCGTTGGAATTCCCTCTACATGATGTTGGAACGATTCATTGAGCAATATCCTGCCATTCAAGCAGCCAGCCTCGATCAGCGTCTGAGAAAGCCAATGGAGAGGGACCGACTTGCTCGACTGACAGAGGATGATTTTAGAAGGGCAGAGGAATTCATCCATCTGATGAAAGTGTTATACACATCCACACTCTGTGTTTCCTCTGAAAAGAGCCCCACTTGCGGTCAGATCCTTCCAATTCTACGAAAGCTTGAGAAGCATTTCAGTGTTGAAGAGGGAGACACAGTGTTGGGGTCCAGCCTGAAGCAGGCTGTCTGGGGAAACCTTTCTAAGCGGTACCAAACTGATGGCATCAGAACGTTTCTTGAAGAGGCCACTGCATTAAACCCTCGTTTCAAAAACCATGTGGAGGACAGCACTGTCTGGGACCGGATCAAGGAGAAGGTGATGGTAGGAAAGCTGACTGAGTCTGAACAGCCAACAGAACAGGACCGTGGTGAAGAAGATGGTGTAACACAGCAGCAGTCTCTCACTCAAAGAGAGAATGAGGAGGAAGAAGATGGAGAGGAGAGTGAGGAAGAGCAGGAGCAGCCACCTCCCTGCAGCAGCAAGAGGGCTAAAATGACTCCGCTTGAGGAGCTTTTTGCAGCTGAAGACAGCCTGAAGATAAAGAACTTATCAACCAGCACCATGTCCACCCAGCTCCAGACTGACAGAGAGCTGAAGATGTACCAAGACATGCCACCAACAATGACATCTGATGACCCTGCTGCCTGGTGGTGGAACAAAATAACCACTTATCCTTTGCTCTCAGAGGTGGCCCTTTCATATTTGTGTGTGCAGGCTTCCTCAACCCCTAGTGAGAGGGTTTTCTCCACTGCTGCAGATACAATTTGCCCAGAAAGATCACGCATACTACCAGAAAAGGCTGATATGCTGATTTTTCTCAACAAGAACTGTTGAGTTAGCCAGGTGTTGTGCACTCAATGCACTTTAGTTCAACCATTTGGCCCTTGTTATTGTTGCTCGAACTGACTTTTTCTTTTTTCTCAAACAGGAGGACTTATATGACTTATGTGTATTATGTATGTCTGTAGGTTTCCTGCTGCTACCTCAGTTGATATAAAGCACAGCTATTGTGTATTTTATTTATTTATAAAAATGTCAGTACCTTAAAGCTTGAAAGAATAAAGATATTTTTGTTATCTAAACATTTGACCTCTTTCTTTTACAATTTTGGAATCGAAACGGGGAATCGATAAGAACCGGAATCGATAAGCAGAACCGGAATCGGAATCGGAATCGATAAATTTCAAACGATACCCATCCCTAGTCCTGTAGGAGTCTGGATGAGCACCTTCAGAGCCATATGGACACGAGCCAGCCATATCTTCTTGCTTCAGGGACCAGCAAGGAGGCCGTCGGCAACTTCTTCATTCTGATCGACAAGAAGCTCATCCCCTGTGAGGCTACCACTTCCTTAGCAGCAATTGATGAACTTTTTAAGCTTCACTTTGTCTTAGGCACTAGCTATGATCCAGCACTCAAAAGCATGTACACATTTCTGCAAACAACTGTCTATAACATAGACGTTGACACCACCAGTGAGAGCCCCAAGGTCAAGGAACTGAGAACTAAGTTTGTGAGTAATATATAAGTGTTACATATGCAGATTATTGCTTGATACGCCTGGATCCTTAACTCGGCACCTTAAGCTTGTTCATGGCTTGTATCCAGGAAAACATTTTAATTTGATACGCGCTCAGGATGGCTGCTCATTGCAGTTCAAAAGTTTTTTAGGTTTTAAAAAACATTTGAAGAAATACCATGATAAGGATGGGGTTGTTTCAAGCAATAATCCTTCATCACCAGTCCAACAAGCTGTTATTCTCAGGGAAGACATTTTACATGTTGGTGATTCTGACATGGATCAAGATTTGCCGAATCAGCAGGCCAGTGGGTCTGGATCTTCTATCTCTAAAGATCAGTCGAAAGAAATGTGTGCATCTATTATAGCCAAATTACAGGGCAGTGGTGTTGCCAATAGTGTTATATTGTCCGTTGTTGAAAGCATGGAAGAGTATGTTGATGAAGTTCACACAAATCTGAAGGAACAAGTGTTGAGTGTAGTGCCTCCTGATAATGCCTGTCGCATTGCAGTTGAGGAAGTTTTCAAAAATGTACATAATTATTTCACTGACTTTAACACAGACAGTAAATGGAGGAAATATTTCAGTGACAAATGGGGGGTTGTCGAAGTGCACTTGGGTGTTCGATTAGATTCAAAGAGAAACAAAATCTCTGGAATATATGAACAGGTACCAGTCAACGACACTTTCATTTATGTACCCATCTTGAAGACCTTGGAGTTTATTTTCAAGAATGAGGAAGTATGTCAACACATTCATGACACCAGACACAGTGACATGTATCAGGACTTTTCTGATGGACAGTATTATAAAAAACATCCTTTGTATTCCAAGTACAGTAATGCACTTCAAATTCAAGTTTATTACGACGATTTTGAAACGGCAAACCCATTAGGGTCTAAACAAGGCATTCATAAACTTGGATGTTTATATTTCACTCTTCGTAACTTGCCACCACGCCTGAATTCTTCTCTAATGAATATTCACCTCATTTCATTGTTTCACTCTCAGGACGGGAAAAAGTATGGCATTGACAGAATACTTAGTCCATTGGTTGAGGACATAAATGTACTGGAACAGGGAATGTAAGTGTTATTTGCTGAGCAACCAATCTATGGTACCATTGCACAGATTACAGGTGACAATCTAGGCTTGAAAAATAAATAAATAAAATAAACTAAACTAGGCTTAAATGACCTTCTTTGATATGTGGAATCTTTCAGTGCAAACCATTATTGTAACATGTCTCACTGACAAAACATCAGCTCAGACTGTGTTCACTCAGGATGACCCGCGGGTGATTTTGCGCACAAAACTGTTAAATGAGGAACATTACAATCATCTCATTCAGAACCCAGGAGAAGGCCATTGTTACACTGTAAAAATATCCACGTGAATTCACAATAATTACCTGGCAACTTGTTGCATGACTTTCACAGTAAGGTTCACAGCAATTTACTGTGAATGTCTTCACAGCAATGTATTGTAACTTCACATCCATGATATTACAATGCATTGTTGTAAAGGTACAACTGTATACTGTAACTTCACAGCTTCAATTACTGTGATATTACAGTATGTTACTGGGGAATTACATCATTTTGTTGCACATGCATTACAACAAGGACCTGTACTTTTACATTTCTATTGTGAAAGTAATGAAGGAGTAGCCAGTAATTTACTGTGAATGTACAATGACACACGTGCATAACTGTAATCCCCAGCTCCAGTACTTCCTGGAGGAAGCTCATACAATGGTTTCCTGTCCAAGTTTAACAGGAAACCAAAGTGCGAGCTTCCTCCTGGAAGTACTGGAGCTGCACTACAAAAATGCACGTAATCTTATTGTACAATTTATTTAAAAAAAAGGCACAAATGATGTAAAATCAATGGAAGCCCACTGGCATATTTATTGACAAAATAAACAACAGAGTAAACAAACAGGAACATGAACTAGTTCACCTCAACTATCCATAAAAAACAGATGAACCCTTAACGGATCCTTTAAACAAATAATCCCTCGCAGGTGAACTGACCGTAATGCTTCCCACTGGACTTGTCCCCGCACACCATGCAGACCATTCTAAGTCTATCAAATTCCGGTGAAGGGTGCTCACGTGAGGGTTAATCGAGCTTCGCTTCTTTGCCTTGGAGCCTTTCTCCGGGTTGATGCCCAAGAAGCACCTGTTAATAAGCAAAGATACATTTCAGTTTTAAATACTCATGTATTGCAGGCAGCATTTATCAAGGTGTTCACCTGTGTCTTTTCCCACACCGACTGTTACTAGTCCAAACCTGTTGGATCATCCTCTCACAATAACATTATTTGTAGCCTAGCAGAGTGCCTCAGGTACCTCTAACATAAGGTGTACTTACTTATCCGAATTATGAAGCCATACTATAATGTGAATTAAACCATTATGTAAATGTTTTAACAAGATTGCCCAGCAACATCAAGTGATGGTGTTCGCATAGTTGGTTCCAGGCTTCATACTCAAAGCATTAAATCTACTTTATGGCCTCTGTAGAAAGGCATGGACTTAATAGCCAGATAGTGAAACACAACTTTGCATGATAAGTCTTATTGATGACATTGATCATTTGTTTGAGTGTTACAATACCTTTGGATGAAATCCAGTGTGCATGATCCAACGGGATATTCGAGGTTGAAGACATAGTAGCTGCTGAATAAAGCAGCTACCCCATGCAAAAAGAATGGGTGTGGGCCCATTACCACTTGTCCCTCGATGGATAGCATCCACCCAGAAGGCTTCATTGTGTCACCTGAAATGAACAGATACCCCGTCATGGGTTATTGTGGATAGGTACATTCCTAGAATCAATCAAAACAAAAATAATACTTGAGCTAGAGATGTCAATACCAGATCCGAGTAACATTCATGATTGGCCAAGGACCAAAAAGCAGGAAAATATACAGTGCAGAGCATGCAAGGACATTACACAGAACCCTCCACTTCAGGTGGACAGCACTTTGTTACTCCACCATCAGTGAGGTAGGCTACTTAACAGTCACTGTAAAAGCATCAAAGGTCCCTGTGCAGATAGGAGAATCTGGCTGAACGACAAAGCAACTCCCTAGCCCTCCTCCCTCTGCCTTTATGGCTAGACGGTTTAACCTCATTCCTCTATGGGTAGATGGTTACGAGCCCAGCTGGAACGAGAACATGTCAACTCGTCAGACCCCTGAATCATTGAAACAGGCTAGAGATTTTAACTAACGCGAATCGCTGAAACATGTGGCGTCAGAGTATCGTAAGTGTCGTTTCACAGACTGGACTTGAATGGAGTGCAGGAGAGATGGAAGGCCTTCAGTCAGATTCTCCCCTTGATGCAAAGGAATACTTAAGCTCTTTAGAGTAACCATTCAGTATCCTATACCTCATCGATGTTGGAGCAGAACAGGGATGCCCTAAGAGAAATTATATAACAAGAATAAAAGCAGCAGTGAAGTCTAGCCATTCAGGTCAGAAAAGCAGGAAATCCTGTATAAACAGGAACAATCCCATCCCTGAACATTACATTACCTTGAATGATCAAGCAGGGGGTGCTTGGGAGTGCTGCAGTATTCACTACATCAGCAGCAGTGGCACAGGTCTGTAACAAAGTAACACACAATAGCATAGATTTAACATTATGCAAGGATGAAGATCGTTCATTGGTCAGAGGTAAATCAGAACATAATAAATGGTCTAATAATAATTACTTGCATTTATATAGCGTTTTTCAAGACACCCAAAGCGCTTACAAATGGACGTCTGCAAACCAAAGTGTAGCCCCCGCCTGGGTGATGCTAAAGCAACAGCTAATCCGCGCACTACAGCTCAACACAGATCAGCTCGGCCCATTTGGAGCAACTTAGGGGTTAAGTGTCTTGCTCAAGGACACTTCCGACATGCGGACAGTCAGAGCCAGGATTCGAACCACCAACCCTACGGTCGATGAAAGACCAGCTCTACCAACTGAGCTTCAGTCGCCCCTAATGTAATCACTCGTTTAGCATTTTAAATATTTAAATACATTTAAAAAAACTTACATCAACTTCGAGCATCAGTTTCTCCGTAGGCTCCTTAAAGTAGACCATAAGGAGCTGGAGAATGCAGGCAGCCTTCTCCGAACCCTCTGGATCATAGCTGGCCAGAACTTCCCTGATCTTTGGGTTGTCCAGTTTCTGGCAGAAATGCAGGATGGTCTGTCCTCTCTGACCCAGGGCCTCTTGGAGCTTCTGAAGTAAAAGCAAAAGTGCTCCACATCCAGACGGAGAAATGCACCGGGTTCCACTTTCTTTCTAGCAGCTCTGTAGCCCCATCCACGAGTAACGTTTCCACGTCAGGTATTATGTATGCTAGCAGCAACACACAGAGTTAACTCAGTTATTAAAACATAGGTTAATGATTAGAGGTAACTGAGTTATTTATTTTGTTAAAGTTTCAGCTATTCTGTTTACAGTTCTGTCATCACATAATTTAATATGATTTGTTAAAACATTGTTGTTTCTTTTGATGTGAAATATTATGCATTTAATTAAAATAAAAAGCAATGTTAGATTTGTTCACTGTTTGTTTAGTTAGTTTACCTTATTTATTGTCAAAAGAACCGTTAATACTATCGTTAAAAGGACCGGATCGATAAGCAGTATCGATATAAGTAGTAGTACAGTTAAAACCTTAACGATCCGAATAATCGATTAATCGTTTCATTAATCGATAGATTAATCGATTATCAAATTAGTCGTTTGTTGCAGCCCTAGTGATGACACGTGGTGACACGAATGTGCAATAGGGTCTGGGACGAATTCATTAAGAACATTGTAAGAGCAACTAACGTTACCAACTTTGACACCAATTTAGATTAGGCCTAATTTGATTAGACAATGTCATGAAACCACCAAGCACCTAGCACAAGAAACATTCATTAGCTAGCTAACATCAGCTAACCTACTAGTAAGTTAGTTAGACCATGGCGTCAGAATACAAACTTAGCAGCAATGCTAAGCTAACTAGCTTATACCAATGGCAATTATGCCAGTTTTACCTGTTAAAGTATTCATTGTTCGCTCTTTCATTTGAATACAGCATAAGCCTTCTGCCAACAAATGGAACAGTCAGCAACAGTTGGCTGGCTAGCACCAGAGCCATCTACCATAGCCATATACGGCGCTGGCTAGCACTAGCTAGGCTAACGTTAAGGCCACCTGCTTGAAGGTGAACATGGCTGCTATCAAGCTAATGTTACTAGCTAACGCTAGCTATCTATTCGCTACCATGTACAAACCAACACGACACTACTCCACTGGCGTTCGCAATCAAAAGCACATAATATCCACCACTAATCCACATTATGGGCAGTACTTACTTGCTGTTTTACCAATGGTAACCGCCTTGGAGAAACTCACAGATGTTCACCTTGACTGTTGCCTCCGTGCGAATTTTCGAAAGGATCGAGGCATCTCTGTTAGGACTTTGGGTTCCTCAAAGCGTGATATGATTGGCCGTTCGAGCGATGACGTTTCGTCCCTTCAAACGTGACACCTACGGTTAACAGGCAAACCAGTGGGCAAATACCCGAAAATGACGTTTTTTCTGGCGTGTATGTCACGTGATCTTCAACTTTCTCAGCAGACAAAAAAAATATATATATATAAATATATCAGCAATTAAACAACATATTCCATTTATTTTCACACAATACGTCTCCTTGCCGTATCAACACTAATTCGGCTGACTTATATATTTGATCCAATTGGTAAATAGGGACACCTAGTGGTTAAAGCACGTTATTGAAATGTTTTGTTGAATAATCTTTAATCTTTAATAACCTGACTTTGGAAAGGGCTGGAAAGATAATTGTTTCACCAGGGGCCTCTAAATAGGGCCCAGATAAGGTATCTGAAATATGGGAACTGTAACCCACCCAGACATTTTTTTTCAATCTAATGTCAAACTCTCACAAAATCCTGTCTCGAGCTAAGGATTGGACACCCTTTGGTGAGGGAGGGAGAGAAAATTGAATAAAGGTGCTTGGCGCTCCGAGACTTTGAGTGTGTTGCTTAACTTGTGTGGAACCCACTTGCAAAATTTGGGGACCGCTGTGACCTTCAACCAGGTCGCAAACTAAGGTTAAAGGTTATGTTTTCATGGCTCTCAGTACTCTAGTCGGCACATAGGAAGGTCCGACAGCTTTGAGCTTGGTGTCGTTGGAATAGTCTCGAAGAGTACATGCAGATTCATCCCTCTGCTGCTCCGAATGTCAAACGTTACGGCTTAAAACGGGACAAAGCCTTCCGTTAAGCCGCTTTCACTCTCGCTCTTGTGGTGACAGAGCACGCCAATGTCCCCGCATGCTAGGCAGTCAAGAGTATTCTAGTTAGCTTCGGCTTGATGTGGAGATGTGATTTGATGTGTCGTTTGTCCCCCAACTCCTCTCGGATGTCCTCTCCAAAGTTGAGATAATTACTAAAATGCTCAGGGGAGTTTCCTGAATTTTCATGCCGAAAGCCAAGCACTAGGCCTTGGGTAAATTGAAGACGCTGATTTGGGGCACTTTTTCCACTTTCCCTGGTGCTAGAAACTCAAGTCAGGCATCCCTGGAATCGTTGCAAAAATACATTTCAAGCTAAACGTAATTGAGAATGCAGTTTAGTTCTGTGGGAACGTAATTTTTAGGAGACAGGGTTGCCAGGACACACGCCGGTTAGAATAGTCTATTCTGCACATGTGCAATGGTGCACAATTCAAATTTTACAGTAATGAGTTGTGCTCTTTATATACAGTCTATCATGGTTGTGCTAAGATGATTTTGAGTACAGTGCTTTACTGTGAAATAATAGTTAAATAATGTGAAATCCAATTCTACTGTTTTATAGATATTTTGTTGTGATATTACAGGGGCTTTTGATTACAATATTTCTCTGTAATATGATACTCTTAAATGCTGTGAAATCCTTGCAATTTTTACAATGTTGTTGTGATATTACAACATTTGATGTGATATTACAGAGGATTTTGATTGCAGTATTTTATTGTGAAATAATAGTTAAATGCTGTGAAATCCAAGGATACAGTCATTTTTAAATGTATTTGTTGGATATTACAGGGGGTCTTGATTACAATATGTCACTGTAAAATAACACTGTTAAATGTTAACTCAATACCTTGACATACTTCAACATATGTGATAACTTTGTGTTTGACATAATGCATGACATCTTAGAAGGTGTAGCACAATATGAAGTCAAGCTGCTGTTTTTCTATTTACAGATGGAGCGCTCCATTTCAGACGCCTACCCGTGCGGGTCCGTGATCGGCACGGGGTGGGCCCCTGCTGAAAAGGCAAACCCCCCCGCAGGACTTGAAACGCCCCCTTGATAAATACATTTAATTATAATGAAACCAGCTGCAATGGATCCACCAGGGGGAGCCGTGATTAAAAAGCTGCCACACTGGAACTCATGTGAAATAAACAGCTGATCTACAGGTATCTGATATAGCGGATATTTGTTAAGATCCATATGTCACGGATAGGATCATATTCTGTGCTAAATAAGAGACATGTAATCATTTACTAAACATCACCATGTTTGTATTTAACAAAATAATGTTTAATTCACGTTGGCGTAAGTACAAAACCATCGCTATGTTTTTAGATCAGGAAATGCATCCAGGCTCAAACAAACGATTTTCAATCATCATCCTCACGATCATTTAAAGGAGACCTATCATGCTATATGTAAATGATATAGTGTATGACCATACCTATATAAGGTATATTTATACATTTTATTTTTCAAAATACCAAACAGATCATTTTTTAGCCATGCCTCGTTTCGCTCATTTTCGCTCTATTCCAAGCCTGTCTTTGAAAATTCTGAGCAGCAGCTGACCACGCCCCCCCTGCAGAAGAGCGGGGCATGAGCCGGTGAGAGTCACGTTACCATGCTTGCTGTGATTACGAGTGTGGAATAAACATGTCATCTCAGAGCAATGCATGTGTTCAAGCATATTATCAATTTGATCCAGAGACTGACCCCGAAGCAGCGGAGGTTTTGGTGGAGGTGCAAAGATCTCGGTTGCAGCAGGACGTTTCTGAATGGTTAGTTGACAAGCTGTTGTCCCTATTTATTTTACTCTGTTAGGATGCGTGCTACTTATTCCGTTCATATTTTGGCTAATTAGCAAGAATGCAATGTGTACAGTTTATAACTTAGAGTTTGTAACGCAAAAACAGCAATACATATATATATTTATAAAGGGAGACATTCATATTTTCAGCATATATACAATGGCCTCATTGCGTTTATTAATAGTTTACAGTCCTTTTCTTCCAACATCGTGCAACAACCGTTGGAAAGTTCAATAACTTTGGGTGATAAAAAGTATAACTCCAACAACACCTCAGTTGTCAGCAATGTGTGTAGTTTCATGTGTTTTTAAAAGCTCAGTTATTGACTTCTTTCTACAGGTGTACATGTGCAAATTGCGCCACGATGCCTTCTGAACGGAGAATGTGTGCTGCATGGAGATACCACAGGTAACATTTTTGATAGCTTCACTAAGTTGTCTGTTTAGAGAATACATTTTTAACATGTCATTCAATATATGTTTATCACACTAGGTGTCAAGACGGATGCAGGAACTTGAGGACTCTGTAACCTGTATGGTGGACCATCCTGGATTGGAGCCTGTGTGCCTGAATGTGTTCTCCCTGCAGAATGCATTGAATATTTACAGAGCTGAACATGGTGGACTACAGTTGAGGCAAATAGAGCAGTGAGTGGTTTGTTTGTTTTAACTGAAATTGTAAAATGAATGCTAATATTGTTCATGGAAATAAATACTGGTGTATATGGCTTTATGCAATCTTTCATTCTGTCATTGTACATGTACTATTATATACTACACAGCAATGGCATAACACACCCATGTGTATGACAACAAAAGTCCACACACAACCTTATGCTTTTGAAATCAGAATATTCTTTACCCATCCAAACATAAATAATCACGACACATTTGATATCAACTCGGAACTTTATTGTCAAAATCAACGGTTCTTTGAACCCATAAAAAAAAACTAAATGTACTTGTATTTTGTA